TTTTTAAAAAAAATTAGATTATTGATTACAAAGTTTTGTAGGTTCTTTTTTTTTCAATGAAAAATAGGTTATTTAGCTATACTACAAGTCTTTATCTAGTGAGATCTCTCAACTATTCCTTGCTTTTATAGTAATCAAGGAGAATACTGAGAAAGGAAATAAGCTTACCGAGTGTAGACAGGAATTTAAAAGATCATAAAAGTTCTGATTATCTTTTGAATATCATTTTGCGAATGATCTACAAATTACATGGTCTCCGTTAGTGGTTCTCACAACTGATTAGCTTTTCGATTGGTCATTTATGTTGTCAATACAGTTCGTGTTGGAAATCATCCAACCAACATTATAAAGTGTGATCTTTGACACAAAATATTATAAACTAATGAAATATAATCGTGAACAAATTGAATAGTTAAAAGTCAATCACGTTGATCTTTAGATTTAGCAAAACAGATCAGGGTGAGCTAAACACTTATTTGTGGTCGACTTCATTAGTCGTATGCCCGGACAAATTCAGCCCACATAGCCAAGTTGTTTAAAGATACTGTGGATACAGCGATATCTGAATGCATTGGTTATCGAAATAGAGAAGTAGTAGTTGGAAGACACGATAGCTAGAATAATGGAACAGTTCTTCGGTTAAGCTTACCTGAACATACCTGCATGCTAGAATAAGGCGAAATTTAATTTTCATTTATCACTATATAAAAGCTTGTTTTTAGTGATTCTAAGCTGCATTTCTGTTAGGTTTTACAATCTAAGTACAACTGTAAATGTTATATGTGTAGCGAATGAAGTTATACCTTACTCGAGTATATTGTTTAAAAGCGTGTTGTTTTTGCTTGATGACGTCTCTAGCATAGACTACTGCTCATAATCATTTAAATGTAATCAGATAGTTTTCTACATCTCATCTTTTCATTGTTCTACAACTTCATAATCTTTGGTTATTTTATTATATTATTTGTTCTTCGGGTTCCTAGCGGAATATAGGTCTTCAGTAACACGTCGCCATTTCACTCTCTCCTCTGCAGTCTTTCAACCTGCCTCCACGAATGCTCAGAAGCTTTCATTTCTTCCTCATATGATCTTATCCATGTCACCCTCACATCGAACGCCCAACTCATCGTTTCGCATTTGGCTTCCATTCGAGGGCGTGATGCTCTTAACTGGTCTTCTCAGTGTATGCCCAATCCATCCCCACTTTCTTCTGCATATTTATTGGGCTATGGGTTGTTGGTTGGTTCGTTGCCAGCCAGTCAGAGTTCTTTTTTGCTTATTCTTATTATTCTGGCCATCTGATCTGATCTTCAATATCGAGTGAACGACCGTAGGTGGCAGCTGTTGATCAATGTCTGAAGTTTGTTGGAAATGCTTTTCGTAACCCTCCAAGTCTCTCAAGCATCAAATAAAAGCAGTGACTTGACTGACATTAATTTTGAAAATCCAGATCTTGTTTTTTATGGTGAGTGGAGTAGATCTCCACACTGGTTTCAGATTAATGAAACCTTGTCTAGTCTACTAGTTCACTAGTTTACTAGCCGGTCCTAAGTGCGGATAAAGAGGGAAGGTTGAGTACAGGGCATCATTCCTATTACATGTGTTGGTTGTTGATTCGATTGATAAAGACCCAGTAAACAATCTTTCTCTTCACCTAATTATATTGTAGTCAGTTACAGTGGTTTTATTATGATACCTGTAATTTCGCGTTGCTACACAGAGCCGAATTGCTGCTGTTGGTAGATTGGCTCCTATGCATATGCCTCGATGCTACCGATTATTCATGATGTTACATTTATCTCGATGACTAGCAGAGGAATGCAGAACGCGCCTTTGGTCCTAGCTGGGACTCATCAGCTGGGTGTACCTGCACCCCAGTGTGTGATGTTTTTCCCAGTGACTCAAACCCAGTACTCTTCGCTTCAAACGTCAGAGCGTTATCTACTAAGCCACTGGGACAATACAGTCACCTCTTCTGCAACGGGTAACGCTCTGTCGTTTAAGCTAAGGGTACCAGGTTCCAGCCTCAGTGGGAACAACACCACTCGCTGGAATGTAGGTACATCTAGCTGACAAGTCCCAAATGAGACGAAGCGCGTATCCTGCATTCCTCTCTTAGTCACCGAGATCAATGTACATTGGTTTTAACCTACTCCATAATGTGATTGTGTTTTAATGCATGGATTACAGTAGCCCAGTCTTGTTTCACACTACTGATCTTATTGGGGCCTGTCATTCTATATTTAGCTAGATCTTATGTTCCGCTAACCTAACTAACCTGGATTGGCTAGTTTGATCTGTGTACTTGACCTCACAATCATTGCATTAGTCTTTGTGATATGCCACACGGTGATATAATATTATTTTATCGATGACGTTTCTAGCCCAATTTACTCCTTATAATCATATCAAGGTGATCACACCACTTTCCCATCTAGTTTTTATGGTTCTGTTGTTTTTCATTCTTCAATTGAATTGATAGTAAAATTCTCCACATATCAAGAATCAGTGTTGCGTCATTTCGATCATACTTATTAAGCGTTGAATCAATGAACAACAGATATTCAGTGATTAATCACATTCTTAACTTAGAGAACATTAGTGTTCAGGACTATAACTCTTTCCTACTCTATTGTATGGTTTTGTGTTATCGCGTATATAGCTACGGCTGAATTCCTCCCTATCAATCCAAACTTGACTAGGTTTTCTTAAGTTATATATACATGGTATTGTTAATCAGTATAGGCAACGAGATATTATTCTGTTGTTCAAAACGGTATACTAACTAATCTTACAACATATTCCGTCTACTCACTTTAATCGATTATCTATTTCCCTATACCTACAAAGTTCACTATTTGTTTTCTTTTTCAACATTGAGTTGTTTGTGTTTCATAAGAAAAAAAATTAATCGTTTGTTTAGCTTACTATTTATAAAATGTTAATCCTGTGGAACTGATTGTATTCATGTGAATATAGCTTCCATGTGTAATTGGTTATATTATACCGTCGTTGATTAGACCGAATTGATTGATCTCTATTCTCTCTTTCTCAATTCGGACCAATCAATAACGGTATAACAGAAGCAATTATACTAAGAACTATACCCGTCGCACAAGAAGTGGCTATCGTGACTCGGTGGAGTAGTGGATAACGCTCTGGTGCTTGAAGCGATCGCTACCGAGTCCGAATCCCGACAGGAACAACATCGCTCATTTAGAGACAGGTACATCCAGCTGACGAGTTCCAAACAGGACGAAATTCTCATCCTGAATTCCACTGCTAGCCACTGTTCATCATTACTATATATATATATATATATATATATATATATATATATATATATATATATATATATATATATATATATATATATATATATATATATATATATATAACTTCCATGGTTTGAAAAAACTTGGCACCGAGTTAGTACGATTCATCGTATAAGGTGTATTTTTACTTCTGTAATCCCGACGTAGTTTAATTGGAATAAATAACAAAATTGACAAATATTTTGTAGATTATTCCTCAACATTTCGATCTTGCTAGGAAGATTCTTTTCAAGAGTATAAATTTGACATTAAGTTTTCAGGTTAGTATTCAAGTTTGGTACATCGTGATATGGAACAAAGATCAATGTAATACAGGTGAGTGAATAAGCAAATCGGTCAGAGAGGCTTTTTTCAGTTGTGCGAATAAAGTGGAACAATATTATCGAATGATGGTAAATGTCACCACCTTCTGTGCCTAAACTTGGATATTAACCTGAAAACTTAATATCCGATTCATGCTCTTGAAAATGATCTTCCTAGCAAAATCGCAACGTTGAGGAATAATCCACAAAATATCTGTTATTTATTCCAATTATACTACGTCGGGATTATACAAGTAAAAATACACCTTATAAAATAACTTCCATAGCCTCTAAATTTGTTCGGTTGCTTATAATACATTAGTACCCTCTTGGTTGTGTTTATGTTCTCTGAACTGGGAGGTTAATTTGTGAAACTTTTATTGTATTTTTAGACAACATCATTTGTAGCACTAACTTCAAGGTTAGTACCCTTCATTAACATATTTCAAGACAAATAGATGTCACACATACTCCACTAAAAATAGGTTCGATATGCATTTGTGCGTTATATTTCAAAAACAAAACAAATGACTATATACTGTTGTATTTATAATCATACCAATATGCAAAATGATGATAAGGTGGTCACATCAGGATCTGCATAAAAGACGGTGTAACAGGACTGAATAATCAACAGATTAATCAATTTTAAGAATTGAAAACACAGAAAATAGTTTGAGCTTTTTAAGGATTTTATTTTTCGATTTCAGGTTGATATTCCTCATTGTCTGATATCAGTTGGAGAAACATTGGAGACCTATGAGCACTAGACGCTTAGTAAGGCATTGATTAGCAGTGCGTACCCACGGCTTAGCCCTCCGGAGCTCGAACCAGAGATCTTCAGATCCCTCGGCCACCATGATACCATTGTGTCACTTGGTGGGATTTTATTTTAAGAAACAATTCATCATGAAGTGACACCAGTCGGCGGAGTTCTATGCAAGGATGAGGACAGATGAATTAGTAAGGAAGATATCATTCATTTGAAACCGTACTTATTGTTGAATGGTTCTTAAGAAGTTATTTAGTTTGAAAGGTAATTTATTACAGTCAACTTCTGTTGATTGGAAAGATGACTTTTTTGTTATATCAATCCACTGGATAGCTAAGATGCATCTTTGCTAAATTTTATTTTGATACTGTTTCATGTTCTATGTTTTGTAAAGAAAGTTGGAGGCAACAGTGAAAGTTTTATTGAGTTTCAGGGAAGAAACTTTGAAGAAGGCTTAACAAGAATTTTATAAATTCAAAACGACAGTGGTTTTAAGCTATTCCATTCGTACCGTCATTTAAGCATACCAGTATCACATTTTAGTATGTGTATAAACAAGATTATTTTCTTCCAATAATTGTATACTTCTAGATTTGGAGCATTCGAAGAATTCAAACGTCATAACATATCTTCAGATGGAACTCTGACTGCTGGAAGAAAACTTCTCTGTGGTTTGGGTAAGTAATACACATTGGGCACTAGACTTTTCATCATTTTTAAAGCCAAGAAATGATGAGCCTTCATTATTTCAGCATAATATCCTCCATTAGTTGGAATTTTTTGAGTTGAACCTGTTAACTATTTTCCTCATAGTTTGAATTCGTCAACGTTAAATCACATTAAATTACTGTGTAATTACTAACTCAGAAGAAACAGTTTGCCTGATAAAGCTAACCTCATATCTCCTTTTGTATAAAGTAATCTCAGCAGACTTTATATTTCATAATTGTTGAAGTATAAGTGTAAAAAATGAATGAAAATCCCAGTTTCATGTTGTTTGGTACTAGTGGCTGACAGACCTACGCTCGTTACTGAAGATCAGATTGCCAGAAAGAATAAGCAACAAGGAACTCTGGTAACGAACCAACCAAGAACCTATCACCCAACAAATATGCAAATATGAGAAGGCCGCTTGGGGACATCACATGGCTGGCCCTCGATAGAATCCAAAGGGGAAACGACGAGTTAGGTGTCCGAGGGTGACATAGAGGAGATCATATGACGAAAAAATGAAAACTTGTGGGCAGTCGTGGAGCGAGGTTCAAAAGACTGCAGTGGAGGCGTGTTACTGAAGCCCTATGTTCCACTAGGAATCCGAGTGAAAAATAATAAATAATAATGATAATGGCTGACATAGTTGTATCGATCGTGTTCTAATATGATTATCAAACTTGAAGACTCAGTATCGTGTTGTGCCTTATTTCAGTTCCTGCAATGTGTCTCCAACTAACTTACCTCAATCAAAGTGCACTAAAACGCGAAGTTTCTTAGCTTGGTGGTCGCATTGCAGAATGATCAGTTGGGTTAAGTCAGTACTCAGGGATGGACAACATGAAATTGTTTACTCTTCAACCACTGATCGGTTTATCAAAACCAGTCTTATGGGAGGTGAATTGTCGTCCGAATAGCTTGGGGATTAGATATCTAACTGTGTCACTAAGTAACAGGAATTCAAATCTATAAGAAGACGTCATTTCTCTTAAGATAACATAAATGTCTTGCTGACAAATGTTAACAAACATGAAACATGACAGTGTATTAAACAATATCTGCATATGATGCACTGAATAGAAGCTACAAAAGTGAATGTGAAAGCCATCCTATGTAATGCTTCTAAGTATGCCATTTGTTAGAGATTTTTCTCTTAAAATTACAATTCATCAATATCATTATGTTTTACTAGAAGCAATACAAGCAGTTACTATTAATGGCTTGAGTTTTCAATCATTTTGAACATGTATCGTTGACATAATTGCAATACAACATTACTTTCTTTTGATTACATAAATATCAATTCAAGCTATGAAGATATATACGCCAGTATCAGATCCAGTAACTACTCTGTCAATATAAAAATTTAGCTTACAAATGTTATTTAAAGTAAAAGCATATAACCACCTATGTATGCTCTTCATTCAAAATCAGCAGCCTAGTTAAATCACGTTAACTAATTCTGTATTCGTCTTTGGAATTTACTTTTCATGATATCTTCGGGACTCTTTTCAAAAAAAAAAAATTGATCATGTAGAGAGTTAAAGAGTTTATCATTTTGTATAAAGTTGCTGTTACCTCATGAGACGCTATTATGCACCATCATAGTACTTCTGCGGAAGCCTATACCTTTAATCATCCTTGGCAGTTAGCGTTTAAATGAAATCTAAATGTTCACATGTTTCGTTAGTGATATAAATGCTGATAGAGGTGTGATTGGGAAAATTTTCAACAGCAAATTAACAGCTTAAGTGATATACATCAATCCTGGTCACCTATACTATAGACAATCGAAACATAAGTGAACGGTGTGCCGAACAAGCGTATTATGCTAATCAGGGCTGTTTACTCAAACCTACGCAGGACCAGTTGGTGTCAAGTGTCATTTTTGTTATTTAACGCTAATATAGATACACTGATGGATGTTTTTTTTGAGTTCTTTAGGATGGGCTTACAACTTGGAGCGCTCTTGGCCAACTTGTAGTACACAGGTAATAAAAGCACTGACAAAGCACTGTCTTCTGAGCACTTTGATCAGAAATCTGAGTATTTTTGGCATATATTTCGCACATACTCCTAGTTCAGGGATAAGCAATGAAATCGTTGAGTGCGTCGATCAATTCATCTGCTTAAGAAGTGGCATCAATCTGAATGAGTTGGTCACTGTTGAGACCTCAGTTCAAATTCAAAAATTCCATTACTTGCACCTTTCAAACCACCGGTGAAAAATCCGACTGTCTATTAGATGGCGAGTATACTGCACACCCGTTCGCTTTCTCCTATTATACCACCGTTAGACATAACCATGGAAAATAGAGGAAATGAATGAGCTACAAGTTTTTGATCATGTATTTCACTGTAGTATTGCTCACATGTTATGGAACCACCAATACTTTGCAAAATTGTACATCAATTATTCACTCCTGAAGAAATTATCGTATCAATTCAACTGTGATATTATCTTGCTATTCGACACAAACATTCATTATCCTTTTGTCGAAAAGTTAGTCATTTAATTTGTGCATTATTTATAATGGTAAAAACTTTTTTATTAAAAACATTGTTATTCATATATTTTGTAAAGTCATATTTTTCTTGTAAATAACTGTTGATTAATTACAGGTGCAGGTGTATGTGAAGCCATATTGGTAGTTACTCCAATGGAGACTATTAAAGTGAAATTTATCAATGATCAGACATCTAAAAATCCACATTATCGTGGTTTCTTTCATGGCTGTCGTTGTATCATACAAGAACATGGTAAGACCAATCTTCCACTTATATATACATATGTATACATAGAGTTTTGAATCCTGAGTGTGATATTTCAACAAATTCACTCCTTGTACAATACTTTCAAATTAAATAGCCATCATAGTTCAGTAATGGTAATAATAACAGTATAATAGGTAATGATGCACAAAAACTAGTAGTCTTTATGTTATCACCTAGTTTGTATGTTTTTGGTCATGAGTTGGATCGAGAAGCACACGTAAGTTTAGTGATGAAGGTTCATTCATCCAATATGCAAATTTGTTGTTCCAGTTATGTGTTCCTGTAATAGCTATATGGTGCATTGTTATGCATTTAGGCACCATATGCCGTCTACTGTGATATGTTCTCGTAATCTTGTTGTTAACCTGTCTAACGATAGATTGAAGACATTTTAAGAGTGCGCGAGGGTGTGGTTTACGATTTGTTGACATTTGATTAGTTAAAACAAGAGAAGACAAAGGAACAATTTGATGAAATATGTTTGGTAGTCTAAAATTTAAGCTAGCCACCGGCGATTACCAGACAAGTAACATTTTTTATTCTGTCTGGAGGTTTGGGAGGTCTATTAATTGATTATAGGCTGGAGTTCATCATGGACTAACATCAGCCAAGAGAATTTTGAAAACCTTGGAGCGCCAAAAAGATGTTTTATCCTAGTATGGGAGTCCTGTCCACGAAACCTGAAGGTCTTGGGTCGATCCCTAGTGGGGTGGGGTCATAGGTCCGCACTGCTGACGAATTCAAACCTAAAATCAATTAATAAACCTTCACAAACCTCTAGATAGAATTAGTCTAGTGCTCATTGGTGACTTGCTTCAAGAGGTGGTTCCCGAAGTTCCAATGAGAAGTCGTGACCAGTGGAGTCAACCAAGTCGAACATGAGGACAGTTACTCAACAACGACATTGGATGTAGGTTGCGCTATATCGTAAAGTGACAGAAGTAGGAAGTGTGAACGATTGCATTCTGACCCAGTGGTTGAATGGTTATGTGCCTGTTGCGAAATATGAAGGTCCTGGATCGATCCCTAGTGGGACGAAGTCATGGACGCGCACTGCTGAGGAGTCGCATGCTAGGACGAAACGGCTCTCCAGTGCTCCCGGATTTCCGATATTCCTCCAACTGATATCAGTCCATGATGAATTCCGACCAAAAAGTGACATTTCTGTCTAACTGAATCAAAATATGGCTATTTCAATTTGCAAACTGAGGAAAAAATTACTGATTCTGATTTTTTATTAGTTTAACTGATTATAGTCGGCAACCAGGTAGTTGAGGAAGGAGTGTTGGTACAGAAAATGACTTGGTATCACACAGATAAGTTCAATACAGCAAGCATTTTCTGGCTTAAGTAAGTATATAACCAAAATCCATGAGTGTTATTTGTGAACTGTTTCTACACTTTTATTCTAAAGCGTTACTGTTTTAATTTGGTTTCAAGAAGGGATTAAAATTTATCAGTCTGGAAATAAAGGATTATATGATAGAGATATAAACAATTTGTAATGATACCTACAATAAGTGGGTTTGCTGCATGATGGTACTTCAGTTTTTCATTGTGGAAAAGAGATTTCAGGTATTCACTCTTGTTAGAAGTTTCCTCTTTTCCACCTCATCACAAAACTGTTGTTTGTAAGCTCTTCTATCTCCTGATAATGAATGAAGAGGTGACAATAACTCGTTATATTTCATTGTCGAATCATTATATTATACTTTTAAGTGTTAGGTGGAGAGAGCACGTTATTATTTTATAATAATGATATCACCTGATTACAGATATTTTTACAGCATTGATCACCTTGTGAAGAGTGTTGGGATTAGGAGAAGGGTACTAGGCAAGACAGGAGAGTAGGTTGATGAGGTTGTGGACCTCAGTCAACTGAGATGGCTTGGACATGCACTGTGCATGCTAAGGCATCGCCTATCTCGATGTATCATTCTAGCAGAAGTTTGATTAAGTTGGAAAAAGTCTCAAGATGGCTGGACCAAGATATGGTGTCAGTGCATGAAGTCTGTGACTGTTGATCTGAGTCGTGTAAGACGGTATAGAATACCTGGCTGGGGTGTCTGAGACGATAGCAATCAGTGGTTGAGGACTCATGCTGACATAGTTGGAAATCAGTCACGGTGGCGCAGATATATTTACTCTTTGATGTCTTTTAAAACTTCGATATTCTCACCAACTTGTATCTTCAAATTGTTTCTCCTCCGACACACTTTTGTCTACTTTGCTATCAGTTTTTTATTGTTCACTTATTCTTTATATACTGTTGTGAAGTATGGCAACTTGACCCGGTGCACTTGTTTGTGATGTTCTACGTTGATTTTGTTAGTCTCTTTGGCTATCCAAACCTCTGTATCTGGGGCAGGATTTTTAACCGCTACCCTCTTGTTCGAAGTGGGGTGCGCAGAGGAATGAACCATGACCTCAACTATGTATTCACGAACAGTAATAATAATAGCAATAATAATAAATATTCTCATATTAATAAGGTTTTGTATGAGATGGCAATTTACTGGCATGATCAGTCTAATATAAACTTAAGTGATTAGTTACATGGAATAGTCATATCAGCTCTGCCGAACTTCACACAAATGATATTTTATGTAAACATTGAAAGATTTCATTAGAATTCGCTATCGTTTGCCGTCTTATTCAGAACTCGATGTATGATACAAAACTACTGTGCCTTCTCCCCTACGCATCTGTAATACATGAGCACTAAAGATAGAAGATATTCAGAGATTGCCTTCTTTGCTAGTTACTGATTCCTTCTCATCATCCTTTTCCTTTGAAGGTTATATTATTTCTCACCAACTAATTTATGACAAGTGTATGACCTTTTTAAATGTACCCAACTAGATTGTATACTCAGCACATAAGATTCATAGACTACAGTCGTGTTATTTACGTGATGTAGTTCAAAGATGGAAAAGTGTCAATGTTTTATTATTCAAACTGTAGATTAGTAATGATCTATCAATTATAGACCAGTTAGTTGAAGCAAGTGAAGGAGTTCTGTTGTGAATCTGCCTCATATTCACAAAGATCATATCATTTGTAGCATTTCAGATGATTTTTATCCAATGAATTGTTTTTTTTTTGAGCCTGGAACTAGTCAAAAGAGTAAACAGATTAGCCACCATATAACTCGATGCACTATAAGAAAATCTATCAGGAGGAGCGGAGTTCTATAGGTACCAGTAGTACCGTATTTAGGCTGATATTTCATCATTATTCATGCCTAAGGTGAATTTATCGACTGTGGTTTACTTTCTAACCTATGAATTATAAAGATAACCATTGTTGTTTAAACTATAAGCGAGATATAAACTCCATAAAACTTAGAAATATTGACTATGAAATATGTGGCTGTAATGTAAAGATAAGTAAGCAGATATGTGTTCTAAGTAAAATTCTGTCTGTTTTGACTTGACTTTTCCTTGCTGAGGTAGATGAAATGGGGCTTAAACCTGAAATTCATTACCTGAATATCGATTGCTTAAGGCAATGAACTATGTCACCAAAAAAGTTATTGCAAATGGAATATATATATATATATATATATATATATATATATATATATTATATATATATTATATATATATATATATATATATATATATATATATATATATGGGACAGGTAAGCATCATTTCCATTGCATGTATTTACTTTTGATTGGATCAACAAACATTCGATTATCAAACTCTCCTTCCGTCCAACTATGTTAGTTTTTAACGCTGTTTCTCTATCTCACTCTGCTGTGTGATTGTATGCAGTTGCATGTAAAACTACAGCCGAGCTTTTTTGTAAATTTCTTATCTTACTGGGATCTACTAATATTGATTTAGTCAAGATTTTGTGCTCTGTTAGTCTAATCGACCCTGGCCAGTCGACTACTTTGACCTATGTACTTGACCTCGTAATCAGTGCAAGGGATTTGGTAAACCGAATTACTTCGCTTAATTGCATCATTAGGGTCTTTTAACTTACAGGGCTCATTTCTAGGCGAGTCTGTTAGCTTGAATGCCACTCCGATCCGAGACAACCTTATTGAGAATTCTTCGTAATGCTTTTGAAGTGCCTTTCTTGTATGGTAACACAACAGAGGCTTTGAATTCTGTCTCAACCCTGTTATCGTTATTACTATTATTAGTTGAAGTAGTATTAATAAAACCTATATTACTACTATTGCTAATATTTTTCTCTAGATTTCTTGTGAATTTATTCATAAATTTTGGTGGGTAATTATTGAGACGGAAGGTATTCTTGATGTGTCTAATTTCTTGTCGCAGATTTTCCGATCTACTAATAAGCTTTTTTGCCCTATCACTTAAGCATTTAACTAAGCCTACTTTAACTGAAATGGGATGGAAGGATTTAAAGTCTAAGTAGCGGTTCGAATGATTAGGTTTACTATAGACACTAGTCTCTAGACTTCTGTCTTGTGTTCATTTAATCTTGCAATTCAACACTACTACCTCACCTTCTTCACTTTCTAAGTCGCAGGTAAATTACATTGCATTCACTACTAAACAGATATGTGTCAGCAACTTATTTATGCGTTTCCATTTCACTATTGTAAACCTATCATATATATATATATATATATATATATATATATATATATATATATATATATATACTCCTCGATCGGTACCTTAGTACGATACGTAAGCTCATTGTCCTAGTTAAGCCCATTTCTAACTACCTCTAAAGCTTTGTCGATCGGTATATTCGTGTATACATGCCGTAGAAATGATTCTAAACCTGTCCCAGATATATGGAAAATTCTACTACCGTTAACATCCCAAAGAAGGAAAGAAAATTAGAACTATGTAAACTGTGCCTTAAAGTTGTCGAGTTAGTTACCTGACATGAATGTGGACAATAAATGATATCCGAAATGTTATCCAGTAAACGATACTGCTTCCCTGTGTGACATTTCTGATAAATAGACTAAATGAAATTACAATCTACCA